TAGTACAATTTTTGAGTTATATCCAATAACTGACTTAAAAACCTACAAATGACATGTTTGGTTTCTATGGTAGGGGACCTGAGGCACATAGAGTTCATAGAGCAGTCCCATAATTCAGAACAGACTCCAAGCCATGAAGCATACTGAGCAAAAAGGAAACTATAGTCAGCAAACAGCCGTCTCCCAGTGTAGTTCAATCATTCATACTTGATAGAAAATACCTCTGACTGTTGGGAAACAGAGACTCCATCTATCCCAGTTCKTTCAAAGAACAGAGCACAGCTTATTCTTTACTTTTAGTAGAGGTTTCTCTTTTATTGTTCTCTCCCCTTTTCTTTATACCCCTGAAACTGTCCTCATAGTGGAATATACAGGTTCAAGTTCCCTCTTCTAATTGAASGAACACTTGATTTTCCCAGCAAGTGCCATAATCATGAAACTACTGTACATTTTTCYAGCATTTCACTTTGCCAYTGTTTCAAGAACTGAAAAGTCGGGGAGAACAATGAAAAGGATGACTGAAGCCTCTGTTAAGAGTTCTTTGGATAACAAGCCCTCATTTGTGAAACTGTAGGTTTATCCAGTATTTAAGCAAYGTAGGTCTTAGGACTGCACAGCCACATAGACAGATCTGCTCTGTCACTRTTTCAGTGGAGCCCTTTTTTTTTTCTGTGCAGTGGTACTACTCCAAAAGCATAGTTAATATATCTTATTAAACTRTGTAACCAAAATCTGGCAGCCAGGCCACAGTCCTAACAGATGGAAGCTGTAGTTTGATTCCCCATCATGCTGAGGAAATCTTACAACTTTGTATTCTGACTTGGGGAAGGTTCACTATCTACTCAGGCTTTATAGAAAAACTGGGGCAGAGCCTCTTCTTTCTGTATTCTTTTTTTTAAAAAAAAAGCAATAGCTGTTACCAAATTTCACAAGGTTCTTAAATCAGCCTCTATTTCATGCATGGTCTGAAACTTCTTAACATAATAAGCCTTTCTGAAGAATGAAATACAGTGAGGTTTAGTCCCTAGATTTTGGATGGACCAAGCATGAAACAATGATCAAAATGTCAGTATTAACATTCACAGTATCTGAAATCCAAGACAGCAAAAAGCAAGAGAATAAGAGGACCAAGTATGTGCTTACCTGGTAAGCAGATAATCAGTAATGCCTCCAGACTTACAACTTTTGATTTCTGCACCCAAATTCCCTTCTGAGTTTTTATTGGACCTGCCATAAGACATTCCATGTAACATTCCCTTGCTTTATTCAAATGGCTACAGAAAGGCAAATGTTATTCCTTTCTAAAACTGAAATGTTTTTTAAAACTGAATCAGTGTATTACGCCACTTTGAGGCAAGACAGACTCCTTATATTTATATTACACTTCAGATTTACTTACAAAAAAAGATCTTAAAAGCACAGTCATTACTTCTAACATATAAAGCACTGAGTAAACAGCAAAASTAGAAGAATTTAACTGGGAGCTAGTCTCAAGTGTTTGCTTGAAAAGTTTAAACAGAAGAACTRTTTATTAAATAACAGCTTTACTGGAAACAAATTTTCAGCATTGCTAAGTTATTATGATATGTTCCATTTGAGGATGGACATATAAATCACCTTTATAATCTCCATATCTAATGTTTGGAGAAATCTAGTTACATTTATCATTATGGCATCTGAGTGCAAAGAAAATTGTAAAACCAGGAAAATTATCTGATAGACCATCTACTGTCTGCTGTCCATGTTCCCAGAAATGTGTGTGGTAGAGGTATTAGCCTTTTCCCATCTTCTGCTTTTTGTGTTCATGAACACTGCTGTGGGAAAGTTAGTGCTGGGACACATCATGTTCTTTCCTTATAAAATACTCTCCTTATAAAATAATATTTAAAGCAGGTATTTGACATTTCCTAGACAGTTATGAGAAAACCCTGCTCTGTGCYCTGGCATGTCAATGCTCCTGGCAACTTCAGAATCCTTAAGTAGAAGAGTCATACAGAATCATATTCATGGAACAGGAAATTGTTTCTGCTAGGCTAATTAAAACCATAGAAAACACAGAAAAACAGTTAGAATCTTAAAATACATTYTTTATTGATCCAGGTCGCAGAGAAAGTGTTTTCCAACAAAAGTCTGCTGGTTTGCAAAACAGAAGTTTTATATAACTGTCAGCATTTTCCATCACATACATGAATTTGTAGGTTTCATACAAACTCGTAGATAGGAAAGCTGTTAAAAGTTAACTATATTCTGGTACTAAATGACACAACTGAAATATGCACAAACCACGACCAGGATATCTCCAGCTCAAGAAGTTCAGGAAAAATATAAGCAAATGAAATTATTATTAATGAAGCAGCATCATAGTTTAGCAGCRAAAAAAATTACATGATCAAAACTATCAAAGCTATTATACCCASAGAGATGAGGATAAGCAAAATACCCTTAAATAATACAAGATTTCATTTTCACTTTTTTTTGTTTCCTAARATGAAAATATCCATTTCCACATGAAAGGCATATAATGAGGACTATGATGATTTCATTTATCTGCTTAGTACAGTCAAAGGTACCTAGCTAGTCTTTGTAATTGCTGGCATTCGACAGCACATTCACCGAACAGGAATAACCTCCTGCATACTCCTTTGATCTTAGTCTGAGGAAGTTATGAGGCTTGATGGTATTCAAACTATATGGTCCCAGGTACACCAACATCAGACACTCTTAACTTCCTCTTGTCTTCCAACCCCCAAACCAGCAGGAAGTAACCACTAAACCAAACAAAAGAGAACGAGAACCAGAAATGAAAAACAAAATCTAAAATCCAACCAAACAGAATACATTCAACAGCTCTTATTATTCACCTCTTCTAGGGTGACACACACTAAACACAGAATCATTACCTGGTGGTCTATGTTCTCTCATTTTTTCTAATGCTACATCTTGAGCCYAACCTCTCTTAGTTTTGTACTGAACTTCTTGGCCACGGTCTGCTACACAGATTCATCTGTAGGAGCTGTTGCCCTATGGCATACACCATGATGCCAGTCCTAGCAAGTCAGAGTTTTGCTTTTATCTGTTAACAGACAACAAACATTTTTGCTAGTTTCATTTTTGCTTTGTTGCAAACAACTTTCAACAAGTGGTGTCAGACAAAAAAAAATGAAACACTGAAAGATAATTATATCTGGGCTCTGTGGAAGAAACAAAATTACCTAAGACCTACCTGAGGAAAGCTGGTATGTGTGGAGAGAAAACATTAGATTCTGCAGATGAATAACAAAATTCATATCATTCACCATCACTTCCTAGGGTAGCTATTAAGTCTGCGTGATTGTTTGTTACTTTTTTCAAAGATAGAAACATTAAAACATTAGTGAATTTATGGAAGTAGTCAATCTTGTAAATGCTTCATTTTTCTGTCATTTTGCATTATGAATACATTATAGGTAAAATGTATTTTGTATTATCAGTGACATTCCAGGACTGAACATATRTATAAGAGGATGAAGACAGGGATCAGAGTCTAACTTTTTTCTTAATACTCACCCAGTGCCAACAAGAGAAAAAAAACTGTTCAGTTCAATGAATAGAAAAAAAAATCAATTGTAAAACGTGTTAACACATTATGAGATCAGGTTCTAGGGTATCAAAATCTCGAGTTGATTCAGATGGAAGCAAATCCACTTCGGCAAAACCAGTGATATTCTTCAGATGTAGTGGGGGTGGGAGAGTAGAATTAGGCTATAGAACCTGCAAGTAAAGCAATTCTAAGCAGTCTCAGGTGCTGGGCTGGGCAGTCAGCAGGAGGGTTTGAGCTGGGCACATTGCCAGGGTGGAGCTGCCCCGGCTGCCACACCACAGCCCCATCTGCCGYACCCGTGCCAGGGCCACCCCCGCTCCCCACCCACCCTGCCGCAAAGGGCCACGGCTGCTGCTCCTCCTCAGCCTCAACGAGAGCTCAGCCCAGACAGGCTGAGTTTGCAGGGACGTACCCAGCCTTTCTCCAGCACCGGCAGCCTCCGGCGCCGCCGGCAGGAGTCGGAGGCTGGGACCCGGCCCCTGTGGGCTCGGCACTGCCCAGGAAGGCGCTGGGAAGTCGGGAATAGTCTCGGCCGGGCGGGGCACGGCAGGACCTCGCCGGCAGCCACTCCCGCTGCTCCTCACGTCAATAAATCACAGAATTGTTAGGGTTGGCACGGATCTCTGGAGAGCACCTAGTCCAATTTCCCTGACAAGACAGGGTCCCCTGGAACAGGTAGCACAGGAACCTGGCCAGGTGGGCTTTGAATGTCTCCAGAGAGGGGGACTCCACGACCTCCCTGGGCAGCTTGTTYCAGTGTTCTGTCATTCTCAATATGAAATAGTTCTTCCTTAYGTTAGTTCTTCCTTGTGTTTTAATTTATGGTCATTGCTCCTTGTCCTGTCACCACTGAAAAGTCTGGCACCATCCCACTGATATACCTGCCTCTGAGATATTTACCTGCATTAATGTGATCCCCTCTCAGTGTTCTCTAGACTAAACAGGGCCTGGTGCTGCGGTCCTCATAATAGAGGAGCTCCAGACGCCAAATGATCTTTGTGGCCCTCCATTGGCCTRTYTCCAGTAGCTCTTTGTCTTTCTTGTACTGAGGAGCCCAGAACTGGACACAGCGCTCCAGATGTCGCCTCACGAGGAGAGGAGCAGGATCACCTGCTGACTATACACCTCCCGATGCGCCCCAGGTTACCACTGGCCCTCCTGGTCTCAAGGACACACTCGCATTATAGCCCGAGGTTTCCTCTTTTCTCATCCTTCGGGAGCCTCCGTSTATGTACCCGAAGGGGAGAGGCTGCCCCAGCGGCACCCTGTCYGTGACCTGCGGAGCCGGCGGGGCTGACTCAGCGCTGTGCCCGCGGCCGGGCGGGGCGGGCGGGGCGGGAGCGGGGATTGGCTGGCGGGCCGGCGGCGGCCGGCGCTGATTGGCTGCCGCGCGGCCTTTGTTCGGCTGCAGCCACTGCCGCAGGGCAGCGGAAGTTTGAGCGTGGCGGAGCGCGCGAGCGGAGACTCGTCTGAGGGAGCTGCCTCACGGCCAGACCGCCCCGCCATGAACCTGGAGTGTAAAGTGAAGAAGGTAAGGGGGGCTGCCCTCCAGGTTATCTGCCGCGCCCACCGGTGTCCGCTTCTCGGGGAGCGACGGACGGGGAGCCTCGCCGCTGCCGCCCCCGCGGGGACTGCTCTGGAGTCGCCSCCCGGGTGGCGGGATCAGCCCTTCCCGGCGCCCCGCTCCCCTTGCCCGGGCCCCGCCGCAGAGGTGGGAGGCAGGAGAGCTGTGTGCCGGGTGGGTGACCTCCCGCTGCCCCGGTGCTCGTGTTTGCTGCGCTGCCTTGTTGCTCCCGACCGTAGGTAGTCGCCGCAGCTTGTACCCTTGCTGTTCTGTCATGCAAGTAAAGCATGTGTTAGGTTCCCCACCCTCCCAGGTAAACCCCTGAGATCTGATAGTTATTTTCATGTATGTGCTGTGTGTATGTAGGTGTGAAGCTTAAATTACAAGCAGCCAAGTCGCTGTTTGTTGATATCTTAGTGATTAGTTTCTGACCTATGGTGTGACTGACTCCTTACAACAGTGTTATCATCTTTCCTATGGATCACGCCCTTGAGAGAGAAGCCTGGGGTAGTTTTTTCTTTCTCTCTAAAGGCATATTGACTGCTTAGTTGCGTCAAACTGGCAAGAAACAAAAGGTTGGTAACAGAAAGCAATAGGTAATCCAATTTTAAACTCACCATTTAAAACTTCCTGTGTAAAACTGACCTTACACGGGGTGTTTATCTAAGTCTTTGCTTCTATTTGTTTCTCAAATGTAGTGCTAGAGCACTGGCTTTTTTTTTAATTAAAAACTTATTTGTACTATCTTTTTTGATACTGTATGATAATGAGAAAAGGAGCTTTGTATGTGAACGTGGATTAAATCTGTACATTACCCTCACTGATAATATGAAAACTAGTCTTCTGAAGTACATGTTGTTTGAACATGTGTGGGATTTATTCCTGAATTGTTTTATTTAAAGGTAGCAACTTTTTTTTTTAAGGATACATACATCCTTTTGTACACTTGTATGCTTTTCTAGCTTGCAGGCTAGAAACTGAGTCAGGAATGGAAGTAGTTGTGTAGTGTGGAAGGCTACCTGTTAAGGCTGTGAGTTACAGCTTGCTTCAAGTGATGTTAACACGTGAGAGTGTCACTTGGGTGAGGATCCTGCTTTGGAGAAACTGCCTATCTTAAGCCCCAGTCATTAGGCCATCAGTGTATTGATTCATCTAAATTTATTCATCTGAAGAGAAAATAAATATGTGCMATGAAATGACGGATAAAATTCTGCTAATAATGGAGTCTTGGTTTGAGTGAACTTGTAGTTGCTGAACATGTGCTTTAAATTGCACTGTAATTATTGGGTAGTTGTGTGTATTTTAAATTTATTTGACTATTTTTGCCATATTTTTCTTTGGTCATTCTTTACTTGTCTCCTTCATAAACTTCAAAGATTCCTGAAGACTTTTCTGAACCTGCTTAGATAGACACGGAAGCTAGTGCCACACAAGAAACTGGCAAAGCTCTGTTTATTGAAAGTAGTTTGTGTTTCTGGTCTGCTCTGCTTTAGTATTAATATGCAGGGATGATTATGATATGAAAACTTCACATTTTCTCTGTTTCTACTACATGTACATTCAGAAAACTCTGTTATTGCACAGTGTCCCCTCCCCTCACATCTTCTCCTCATCTTCTTTCTCTTTGTAACTTGGGTGAAGCTCATTTTCCAAGAGAACAGAAGAGGATCTGTGAAAAGTCCCAGCAGGGAGACCTGGGAAGCTTTGCTAGGTATCAGTGAGTTTGGTGCAAAATCCTTTTTTTTTGACTATCAAGATTTATTTAATCAAAACTTCTTAGATTTTATACACTAAATAGAGTAACAGTTCATGTCAACTCTGGAATAACTATGTGTCTTCATTTTGCATTCTTTAATTCCAATTCTCAACCTGTTTGTTTTATTATATTTTTGCTTCTCTCTTTTTTTTTTTTTTTTTGCCAACTTCTCTCTTTCTTGAAAGGTGGAAGAACATTTTGAGAAGTTTCCAAGTTTGTCAAAACCAGAAAACCACTTGGCTTTAGATGAAACTTGTCCTGAGGTGGAGATGCCTGTGTCAGATTTTTAGTCCATCATCAGCAATGTAGTTTGTCTTATACCCTGGAACAAAATAGCTTGAGTCCTGTTAGAAAAATGTACTTTGTACTTAATGTAAATTTTTATTTTGTAGCAACTTGTAGGTGTTTATTGACTGGCAAATAACCTGGTAAATGTTACAGACTGGTGAATGGCTAACCTGCCTGTTGGGTAGGAATTTCCTAGAATAGAAGAATTTCCTTTTCCAGAAGAAAGCTGGAATTGTCATGTTATCAGCAGATGTGTAATTCCATTGCTTTCTTGAGCTCAGATGCTGGCTATTTTGTAGCGCTGATGTTCAGCAGAGCAGAAGGAAATGAATGCCTTGCTGGAGTAGCATGCAGTGTGGAGGCTTAGACACTCAACTGGTGCTATAGAAAAACTTCTTCCCCTGCCTACAACTGCTAATGTATAGTGTACAGGGTAATACATTGGCGTGTTTTCTGTTTCTGGAAARCTTGATAGATGAAGTTTCTAAGGTGACATTACTAAGATTTGTATACGTGTCAGTGAGTCTATTCTTCATTTTTGAGCTTCTGTATTGCCTCTGGAAAGCTGTTACATACATTTATATGTCTAGGTTTGTATGAAGACAAAAAGCACTTGGAGAAAGTCTGTTTTCATTGTTGATACCAGATTCGGTGAGGTTTTTTCCTCCAAATGTAACAGTTCTAGCACAGTTTGTCTGACTGGAATTGCTTCCCTCCAGTACAAGACCACTAGGACTCCAGCAACATACCTGTTCTTCAGTAGGAAGAACTGCGGCCCCACCTGCCACAATTTCTAACCCATTCTTTTAGCAGTGGATACCTTATGTATTTGCAGCCTTGTGACAGAAAAACAGCAGTCCTGTTTAACACACTCTTCTTAGGACACAATTATTTTGGCTCAAACTTTAAATTTAACTTCTTCTATTTGGTTTTTTTCATGTGTTTGTGTAAATCTCATCTTGCTGTCTTAACAAGTGGCCAAAGGAACCAATACCACCACGTAGGCAAATGTCTCTCTTGGTCTGAATCCTGAGTTCTGACAACCACAGCCTGCCGGAAACAAATTTCAGCATGAACTTCCTGCAGTGAGCAATATATATGCAGAACATATGCAAATGTGTGGAATAGCATGCAACTTTTTTGTAGTCGCCATGTAGTTTGCCATGCTTTATAGAGATATTCAGTGACTGACAAACATCTAGGCAGCAAATAGTGCCTTTTTGGATGCCTTGTGAATACTGAGACCTTAGGATCTGTTACTATTTTCCTTTCAAGGGCATGAGGAGTTTAAGGGCAGCTGTACAGTTTTCTCCTTTTCCTCAGGAAGAATTGGATTTGTTCTTGCATTTGAGGGTCATGAAGACAGCATTGTGTATAAAGAGATTGCACAACAGAGCTGAAGGGTAAACGCAGTAGCTCCAGCTTGAAAAGTACTTGTGCAACAAACAGACCCTGTCTCTCCCAAATACAATATATGCTGTGTCCCCAAACCTTGCTTTGAGGCTATGGGGTAGATGAAGATTTACTGCTTTGTGTTGAAGACTCTAGCAGAACTTTGTTCTAACAGTCTGGATTCCTGCCCTGTCTGCCACCTCTGTGAACTTGGTAAAATGAATCAGTAGGTCACGGTCCTKCTTTTCAGTCCTTCTGGCAGCAGTCCTTCTGGTCTCATGCTTCACTAGAGAAAATAAGAATATGGCACTGAATCTGTTCTATATAAACTTTCACAGTATAATACTTGCTTTATGAAAAGAACTTCGATTGCGATGGAGAAAGGGGCAGGRTAGTTTGGGGGGAAGAGGTGAAACTTCTCCAGTGTGGAATTTGTGCGTGGTTATTTTTCTGTGGCAAGAGACTTAGTTTGTTCTGTTACAGTTGGAAAACCAAACACTAAGAGTGCATTAGACATTGTTAAGTCAACAACTGAAATGATCTTTGATGAATGAACAGTGAGTAAAGTATGTATAGGAGCAAAGTCAACTTTTTTTGTGTTTTGCAAAGCATGATTTAGTAATGTCTGCTGGGCTCCACTTCCTGTTGAGGTCACTGTTTGTTTTGGTGTTGCTGCTATGGGAACTGATTATAGTAGATCTTTTTTGCTGTTTCTTCTGTAAAGTAAGATCAAGGAAATGTACTTTTATTCAGGGGGCAGTTTTACCTGCAAAGTGTGAAAATGTTTATGGAGACATGAGAGGAACTACTTCAATTTTATTTACAAGAAAAGTAAGTAACTGGTTCCTGCTTATGCTGTGGGGCTTGAGGTTTTTTT